CTCCCCGTCCCGGGAACCCCCGCTCCCCCACCCCATTCGCCGCGTAGCTCCCGCGGTTCGCCAAGTTCACCCTGGCCGCCCCGCTTCTAAAAGATTGAAACCCCGGTTTTTGCGGAGAATCCGACAGCTCCGCGCCCAACCGGTATCGATACTCATTTCATCCCCGTAATCCTCCAAATCCATCAAACTCTAGCTGAATGGAAAACAAATTGAAGGTAATACCTACAAACAGAATTCTAGATCGGCCAACTCGCCCGCCGTTGCCGTCCCCGAACACTGGGCGGACTTCGCGATGCGCCCGAAATACAAGCTCATTATCGTAGGATTAAAATCCGGGTGCACTGTCCGGCTCGGCGAGGTACACTCCGAGGTGAAACACTCCCGGCGGAATTTACCACCTTCGGTATTTCGCTGAGACTATATCCAGAGTTGAATGCTGCCGTGCTAGGGAAGAACCGCGTATGCGCTAGCAGACGCTGCCAAATTTCCTTCGACATCGCGAATTTTCAGGTATATTTGCGAATATTTCTCTTCGGATTTTCAAGAGGATTTCCTTCGTAACTTGACCTGAAGTGTCTGAGAATTTCAAAGAAAAATAAACACAAGTTTCTTCAAAAATCCATTTTTTAACCGGCACACTGAAAAAAAAAAAAAAAAAAAAAAAAAAAAAAAAAAAAAAAAAAAAAAACACATAGGATCTTGAGTCCAGACTCTTGAAAACATTGACAAGAAAAAGGACTCTTGATTCCAGATTTCAGCTTAAATCAGACGGAACTCCGCTTAAATTAGGAGGCTTTGTTCTTGATTTAAGCTTAAATCTGATTGAATCAAGAGTATTTTTTCTTGTCGATGTCTTTAAGAGTCTGGACTCTAGATCTAATGTGTGTGTTTTTTTTTTTCCAGTGCAACTCTCGAATTTTCGTACGGCGTTCTTCGGCAGAGGAATCCAGGAGGGAGGTTTCCCGTTACCAAGAGAACCCGGTGAAAAAATACTTTCTCAGAAAACATTCGCGTAAAACACACGCTATTGTTGAAATGTTCCAAGTATCTTTTCCTCTCTTGGCATTTTAATTTCTCTGAAAGATGTGATTCCTAAACCTATACGAGCACTAAGGGCTATTTCGCTCAAGGGAGAGTCTATTTTACCTTTCATTCCAAGCGTATAGGCACAACAATTGCATATAATACATCTTTCACTTGCCTGAGTAGAAATGATGAGAAAAAAATGAATGTTAACAATTGAATAATTTGTTGCCTACCTTTGCAGAGGCTTACATCGGTTATTACTTTTTTTCCAGCTCTTTTTTATTGGAAGGTGCGCTATTGCCTGGCTCAAAACATTTGATTTTGTATCGTTCATTTAGTCCTCTGAAACTTATTTTATTGTTTCTTTTTAATAATGTGAGCATTGAAAAGAAATATAGTTTCAATTATTTTAAAATAGCTCCATTAGTTAGTTCAGTAATTACCCCGTTACATACGACGATCAGCAACTAGGCTATTAACGTTGGAGACCAGGAAATTACCTTAAATTTGGAGATTTTCTTCTTAAAAGAGTAAAATGAAGGAATAAAATGTTTACCAGAACACGCATTTTAAATGATGAAAATTAACTGTTTATTTTCCTGGATGCATTTCGGCAAGATACCGTTTTCAGCAAGAAAAGTTTCACAAATCACAAACCAGAGTACCTTATCAAGATACAAATGTGTCACAGTGCATATTATAACAATGATCAAAAATGCCGAGGAGCAATGCAATTTATTCCTTTCGTTTATTTAATTAACACCACGCGAAATGCGATTCTCTACTTGTTAAAAGAACTTTAAAATTTCGGTAGTTATTTACAAATTAAATGAATATATTAGACTTGATAAACCTCAGCACACTAAATGAAATAAATCGAGTATAAAAATGTAAAAAAGTAGAAATTTGGCACTTATGAAAGTTTGATTTAAAATTCTGAAGGAGAGAAGGGCGAATATGCAAAATTGTGTGTGTGGACACCGAAAATTTCCAAGACTTCGTGAATTTGATTATTTGATTTCATAGGACTTGGGAGATTTGCATAATTATGCGATGCAAATTAAAAACAGTAATAATTGGTGTGGACCAGCTTATTAGTGGGTACGTAAATTTCATTGTCGAGATTCGAATCGGGATCATTAAAACCGATGACTCGAATATTCATCCGCTTCGGTTTGGGGTATCGCGGAAATGAATTATCTCCTGTATCCTGACAACTGTGTATTAATTCCGGGTTTCCACCGGACCGGAGAGCCATGTGTTCTGGGGAAATTTGTCTACATGGAACTATGGCCGCAGCGCTTTAATCGGAATATTGCTGTTCTCTCGAAAGCAGTCGCAAGTTCACAGCTAAATAATTTGTTTTGACACTTGATTCCTCTTTTTTGTGCACTGATCCTCCCCCTCCCTTTCACCGTGACCACTCGAAATTGTCAACAGGTTCGCAGAACCGCTTTTTTTCCTGCAGCCGACCCTCGACATCATTATTTATCACACCTACTGCCCTCAGATAAAAATCAGTTCATTGACATTAAACACGCCGGTGATGTTGTTCGTACATGTATATTCATATGGTAAAGATAATTGGTATCCAGAAAATTTTCGATATGATTTAAGTGTAAAGCCATAATAAGGGCATTGCAATAGTGCTTATGCTTGTGACGTATTGAAGGTTGCATTAAGATGAGCTGTTTAGTTTTGAATGTCATGCGCTGACGACCGATTTATGAATGGGCGCACGGCGGTTGGGCCTTTATAAGCGCTCGGTGGATAGAGAGCGCTTTCTGATTTGAAAATAGCTCCAGAATTCGAGTATTCTACTGGCAATGCGTTCTGATGACGCACCCACTCTACAACAAGATGGCGGAGAGAGGCCTAACAAATATAGAAAAGATTCATCTATATAACACATATAAATTAAGCTAATTCACAGCGCAGCCTCGCGCTCTGCGACAAGATGTTGCGTTGCCAGTTTCATAACTAAGGGAATGTGCATAAGAAAAACGAAGCCCCATTAATATGAGCATAACGAATAAATCAACAATTATTAACATCTCGCATAATATGAATTCCTTCCAGGTTAGCCTCTTTCGTTGGCCACATTATGAATGATAGTTCTTTCTTTATATTAGTGATTTTCTTAAAATCAATTGTGCTTTAAATTACATTCAGGCATAAATTTTTGTGAAGGGCAACAATGGGCATAAAATATGCCAGGTAACTTGAAAAACAGCAGTGATTAGGTTGGCATGCCTTATTTGGTAACTGTATTCACTCCTTCAAATTCTGTCATCCTATTTAAAAAGCACACTGCAGTACTCTCTCCGATGCCGAATGAAACCAAAACCTTATTAAGCTGTCCTGATTTAAATCTCCATGCAAGTAACTTGATGACCGATACTCTAAAAAAAGCTGCAAATATTCCATTTCCCATTCTTAAGCCATTCAAGGCTAGAGCAGCCCCTAACTCGGGTGAAAATGATGAAAACTCTCCGCCGAGGAAAATACTTGCCTTGATGAATTCTGAAGCACCAACAATAAAGCAATGCGACTCGACAAGTGATGAAGGAGAGACATACTCCTACATACTCTAGCTTTCCACTAATTTTAAAAATGCAAGAGTAAGAGATTTTCTGGGGTAGAGCCCCCAAAAAACCACTTATAGTAAGAGAAAGATAAGAAAAATAACGATCAGTTTTTACACTTCCGTGTTGAAGAGCGCGCACAAATTAAGGTGAGCGTAAGCTGAAAGTAAATTGATTTTGGACATGAACAATATAAATGAATACACCTCTAAATGAACACATATATCTTGGTTGCAGGGATAGATGCTTTCGGAGAAGCCAAAATAGGTATTTAGGCCACATTCGGCATCTTGCATTTCGGAATTCAAAAATTTAATTGAAAATTCGAGTTTTCCGTCAAAAAACCCCGTGATACCGAGTTCCACAAAAATCGATCGAACAGGAACCGAGCCATTTTAAGCCAATTCTACCATATTGGATTTGGTACTTCTGAAAATTTGAGTAAAAATTTGAAATTCCTGTCAAAAATTACCTCTCGGTGCAAAACGGGTGCGTTCAAAAGTGTAAACATTTCAAGGATAGGATTTCTTTCAGGTGAGCCTCTTTCGTTAGTCACATTATAAATGATAATTCTTTCTTTATATTAGTGATAGTTTTAAAAATAAATTGTGCTTTAAATTACATTCAGGCATAAATTTTTGTGGAGGGCAACAATGGGCATAAAATATGCCAGGTAACTTGAAAAACAGCAGTGATTAGGTTGGCACGCCTTATTTAGTAGGCAATTTCACTTGAGTTAGGTTCAAACCTAAGAATACAACTATTTCAACCTCGGTGTGTTGCACAGTATCACACGCATTTGAAGGCGTTTTGTATTGGGCCGCCGGCGATCTCCGTGTAGAGGAGTCTTGACGTGTTGTTGTCTTAGGCTACGGAACCTTAGGCGCGTCTGGACGCGGCGTCCTAGACGCCGGCGTAAAACGCTGCTACCGAGTCGAGGGCGAGAAGACGCTCACATTTTGGAGCACGGCACCTTGGCAGCGGAATCCTTGGATTTTTTCCGCTCTGTCCGCCGTCAATTTCTCGAATTTTCGTTGATCGGACAGTATGCTTGGAGCCGCGAAAATGGCTGGACGCGCGTTTTTTATCTCTGAAATGTTTGACGAGATTGAACAAGAAGAATTTCTACAATGCCCACTGATGAGCAGTATTTTTGGGAATCGCCCAGCTAATCGGGTTTTTCTCTTGCGGCATAGAGAGGGCGCATTCACAAATCTTATCACACGTCATCTCATGGATGATGACACACTTTTTAAGGAATACTTTAGGGTAACGCCCGCGGAGTTCCAGTACATTCATAGAGCAGTGGAACAAAAATTGGAAGTGCAGGCATATAATCGGCACGTGACACCAATATCCAGTAAGGAGAGGTTGTGTATAACACTCAGGTAAGTGAAAAAGAAATAATTTATTAGTTATGTGGAAACAATACATTGGTACATAAATGGAAAATAACAATGTAGTTTACAAATTAGTAAAGAATGTGTTATCATTAGCAGTTTCATCGCTTGAGGAAGGGGAATACACAGCTGACACCGCAGAGTTGGAAGGCGGCGAGTATACTGCTGAGTTTGAATTATACTGTGAAGTCCCCAAAGAATTTGAGGTGGACATGGCGTGCACGGGCGCGGCAATTTGCTCTTGTAATGCTCTATACTCTAAATTAACGACAATGTTTGATATTTCGCGTTTAGCTTCAAGTTGAAGGAGAGGAGGTAAATTTATTACAGCTGAAGCAATGCCCTTGAAGTAGTCCCGAATTGGGTGAGTGAGATGGAGTTTCTGTCGGCATCGGCGGTACCTGCCGATTTCTTTCTGTTTCAAGGAAGCTTTTCATTAAGTCTAATCTTTCCTTAGATTGCTTTTGGAACTCCGGAAACGCCCTATCCCGAACTGAAGCTCTTTTCTTAAAAGGACTTTTTTTCGGTGAAGCTTGACGTTTTGGTGTAGCTGAGTTCGTAGGTGTGGATTGCAATGCGCCCGGTGCTACTGTTTGGGATTCAGAAGTTGAGGCCTCCAAAACTGGGGAAATGACCGTTTCAGATGCTGCACCATCATTTGCCTCTTCCTCACGTATTAAATCGTCAATCGCACCATCGCCTTGAGTTGTATCGTCATTATCAGGCTCCGCAATATTTCCAATCGTTCTTAAAATAAAAAAAACCGGGAAAAACACATTAAATTAAAGAACTTTCAAATAAGTAAATGGGCCAGTCATTGGCACTGGATGTTGGCTGGTGCATGCGGGGGTGTTGGCTTGGCGATTTACCGTAAGCTAAGAATAGTTTGAAAAGTCTTACTTACGAGACACTGTCACTAATATTAGAAATAAAGTGTAATTAATTAAGTTTATCGTATTTTAGGAACATAGTACATTAAACCGAATTCCTTCTTAAAATTATCGTGTATCATAATTGTCACTTTCCGACTTTCAGTGACATCAAATTAGGAACTTTGAGGACAAAAGGGATAAGTGCAGTTCTTGGTATTTCAAGAAAAACGTGTTTAAAGTTTCAAGCGTTGAAGCTTCACAAATCGATGCTTAAAATATTGGAATTTAGCAGTGAATTTTTCACAAAACATATTTTAGGACCAGGTTTAGTTGAAATAATCAATATCTTGATTTTTTTTCCGAAGTTGCACATATCCCTTTTGTTTTCCAAGCTCCTTAAATCTTCATTATAGAAAATAGGATTTTCACTATTTGAGTTTTCATTCTGGTGTTTACAGGCAGCAATGATTCATCAATTTAGGTAGCGGTAATATTCAAAGCCCATTATTGCCCCGATGGTCAATAAAGTCCTGACTTGCTTCGTAATGACGCAAAAATGTATTGCCTTTATAATTTTTCTTTATGACTTTCATTGTGTACTTGAAACAATAGTTCATGCAGTTTCCTTTTTTCCTCCTTACAATTAAGTTTCAAAATGCCATAATGCATATAGGCGCTGTACACAAAGTAGAATGTTCGTCCCATTTTTTCTTATTTGTTTATTTATTTATTTATTTATTTTTTTTGGGGGGAGGGGGGCAATCTTTTTTTTTCACGTATCGTCCGCAGTGTACCCTTAATAAAAATGCTGGAGAGTTTTTATACTGACGGGGCTGTTTCCAAAGAGTCCGCTAGGAAGGATAAACGCCGTAAGATACAGTCATCTTTTTGGGAAGTGGCTGCTGATCCTGTGGGCAATTTGTTTTCTTTCTTCTTCCTCATATAGTAATCACGAATGTATTTCCACTTCAGTTTACAATCTTTTTCTAAAATAAAGGAGAGATCATATTAATTGAGGGAAAATTACATTTGGAAAATCGTATCGTTCAACTCCATATCGATGGCCAAAGTGCGAAACCACGTATCTCCGTTTGTGACATTCCAGACTTCCTATCGTACCCTATTTTTGCCTCTACAAAAGTAACCAACATACTTTTTTGAAAACTTGCTTGATTTTTCTTTTCTTTTAAGAGAATATTTTGTATACATTTCAGGCTATAAAGTTGCCTTGTCCCTTTACAAGAAAATGAAGTACGATCGTGCATTTCGAAACACCGGAATATAGATATAAGTGGTTTTATCCTGTGGTCATCGATGTGTCGATTGAAGTGAAATGAATTGAATGACCAAAACAAATAAGGTTCAATACGCCAAGAGGTCCAATCACAGAAGAGCCCATACAGGGCGCAATAATTTTCTCGATTTTTTTCGAAAATAATAAGATTTGTACAAGAAGCAACTCTTTACGTACAATATTAAGCGAGATATCACGCTCTGAAAAATTCGGTTTATGATGCCATCCACTGCGGTAGTGACGCCCTTTGTTTCTTCCACCTGGCTTTCAATCGAGTTTTACGTGGAGTAACCTGTGCAAATGTGCGTCACACCGACTGCTGAAAGCAAGATGGAAGAAACCAAGTGTGTCACTACCGCGGTGGATGACGTCAAAACCCGAAGTTTTCATAGCCCTATATCTCGGTTACCATCGAACGTAGAAAGTTACTGTTCGGACAGATGTTATTATTTTAGCTGATCTACAAGAGTCAAGTATAAAAAATGTAAATGTAATGATGTAAAATTTTTTCAACAATTTTTTCATTTAGGTTGTGGTTCTGTGTAGGTTTTTGGCAACCGGTGAATCGTACCGCTCCTTAGCATTTCAATTCAGAACAAGACATCAGCACATTTCCAGAATGGACCACTAGACAGGGTACGAATTTTAGCATTCTACTACATGTTTCTGAACCAAAATTTCACGTAAAACACGATTCGCGCAACGAAAATTACCAAAATCAACTCCTAACAAAGATATTAACGTTTTTATTTCACATTGGTTACGAGGAATTTGAACTGCCCGCTCATAAGAAACTCAAAGCTCTACGTAAGTCAAATCGTGCACTACAACGATTTCAGCAAGCTTCTCGATCTAGCAATGTTCATTTCCCACCATGTGTTGTTCAAACTATAAACAACTTGCTATCGCTGAGCCAAAGCATCAAGATTGAGGTTGCCAGATTTTTATATCTCAGAGACTGTCATGATAACGTTTTGAGCGTGATGTGAGTCACGTAGAGCATTGAGTTTTCATGAGTGGGTGGTTTGAATTCATGCATCAAGAATCATTAAATATCTTCGTAAGAAGTTGATTCCGGTAATTTTCGTTGTGCGCATCGTGTTTTACGTGAAATTTTAATAATGAAACATGTATCAGAATGCAGAAATTCGTACCTTGTCTAGTGGTCCATTCAGAACAAGACATCAGCACATTTCCAGAATTGCGAGGAAAACTTCCGAAGCGATTTGTTCAGAGCTAATGGCTGAATTTATGCCCCAGCCGACACATGACACTTGGATAGAAATTGCTTCAAAATTTCAGGCAAGATGGAACTTCCCAAATACAATTGGTGCTCTAGATGGCAAACATGTGCGAATAGTCTGTCCAGTAAACACAGGCTCTCTTCATTTCAACTTCAAAATTTTTTTTTCTGTTGTACTGTTAGCTTTGGTTGATGCAGACTACAAATTTATTATGGTGGACATCGGAGCGTACGGAAAGGAGAGTGACTCTGGGATCCTCGCCCGATCAAATTTCGGGAAAAGATTAGAAGAGAACGATTTGGATATTCCAGGACTCACAAAACTTGAAGGAACAAACCATGAGGTTCCACACGTAATTTTGGGTGATAGGGGTTTTGGTCTATCGGTAAAAATTATGAGACCGTACTCTCAAGCCGCTTCAAAAGGAGATGAGACCAAAAGAATATTTAATTATAGATTAAGTCGAGCAAGATGATGCTCAGAAAATGCATTTGGTATACTCGCAAGAGTTTTTCAAATTTTTTACCGTTTCCCAGTAGACGTTAGAACTGTCAATAAGTTAGTATTGTCTGCTTGTTTACTGCATAATTTAATGCGTACTCGGCGCTCTGGTGACAATGTAAATTTAATCATTGAGAGCACACCACCCCCCACAGAAAATCTGCTTCCATTCGCTGCATCTTTTCAGAGGCACGCAGCGTTACTTGCCGAGGTTTACAGAGGAAGGTTCAAAGATTATTTCAATGGCATAGGTTCAGTCCAATGGCAGCTGGAGGAAGTTCGGAGAAAGAATTGAATGTTTTCAATAGATTGATTTTTTTTTAAAATGAATAATTCTGATTTTGATTTGATTTGAATGTTCACTAAAATTTAAATGTTCTCTATATTTTGAACTGGTGTAAAAAAATGTGTCTCCATTCGATTTTTGTTTAAATACTACTTGAGATAATGAGAACCTAATGTCTAAGTTACTAAAATATTTTGTCTAACATGAATAAACATGATCATATCATAAGATGAGAAAAGTATTTTTTATCCTTTGATTCCAACAGCAAGGGTACATTTAATAGATGGAAAAATCGTGAATTTTAATTTACTGCCAATTAGAGGCTGCGTATTTGATAAAAGTTCAAAAGTTTTGATTTAGAAAATGATCATATCAAAAAAAAACCTAATCAATTTTTCCTTTTTTTGACGTAGTCGTTGCTAAAGCGCTATTACGAAGGTTCCAGGGTTGAACCTGCAATTTTGGCAGTGAGATAGCTATTGAGCTGATTTTCAGGGGCGTACTGGCCCACCGGGAAACCAGGACATGACCCGGTGCGCCCTCCCGCCCAGGCGCCCTGTCGCTCTACTGCTTTCCAGAAAATGAAAAAATAATAATAATAATAAACCGATCCTAACCGATAAAACCATCATGGCAAACAGACCGGACATAGTGCTTGTTGATAAGCGAGATCGCACCGCTTACATCATTGATATTAGCATCCCTAATAATCATAACTTGGAGCTGAAGTATCAGGAAAAGATGGTAAAATATCTGCCCTTAGCTGCAGAAATGAAGCGATTATGGAACCTGAATATTGTTTGTATCAAACCCCTGATAATGTCAGTAACGGGGATAGTTCCAAAAAGTTTAGTTCAACATCTTCGAGACCTCGGAATAAACAGTTACCTGCTTCATTCAATGCAGAAGTCCGTCGTTATAAGCAAGTCAAGTATTGTCAGGTCGTTTCTTAATATCGAATAATTTTTTTTTGATTTCGCTTAAAATTTAATTTTTTTTAAAATGTTTTTTTTTTTCTTTTTTAAATTTTACTTTAAAATAACGTTTACCCTTTTTTTCAAGCAAGATAGTATGTGTTACTGACTTTGGCCTGTGGCCCGTCAGTAATACTCGTGCCGGAAGTGTTCCCTCTTCTGAGTTACAAAAAAAAAAAAAAAAAAATAATAATAATCATGCAACAATGAAGATGTGAGAGGGCGCCTTCTTGTTAAAAGAGAGCATGCTTTCTTATTTAGAGACAGGGCGCCCCTTTTCCGGACAAGTGCGTAAGGGAACAAGGCAGGTTGGTGCGCCGGAGGTGGTGCTGAGATCTTGTGGTACAATTTTCCTCAATTAAAAGCACTTAAAGTGACTCGATTATGCGAAACCATTTTTTTTATTTTTTCTTCAGAATGGCTTAAAACTGCGTCTAAAAAGGTTTATTTTTCAAAATATCCCGGGTGAGGACCCCAGGACTCCCCATCAGACCCCCCCTTCCCCTGTGGCGGCGCCCTCAAAGTGACTGTCTCGCGCCCCTTTAAGGGTCCCAGTACGCCCCTGCTGATTTTTGTCATATCCTTAAAGATTGCATCATTCCTAATCGATTGAAACTAAAATTTTCTCATTCGCTGAAAATTTGACTAAGTTTTGGGGTTCTGAAGGACGGGGGTAAAGCTCTCACCTACAGGTTTTTTTAAACATCTCTTTCAAAGGTGTAATTATGCATAACATTGTTTTAAATCGAATATCTAGAAAGAAACGACTTGGCAACATAAAAGCAAGTAGGCAACGAGGCGGAGGGAACCGCGCGGGTGCAGTCTGGAATGTCTTCCCCTACCTCAGGCACGTGTCTCATTTCGCGCGCCTGTGTTCGAGATAATACGGTGTCTGTGAGTTTGGTATGTTTTTGACAAATTTTTCGCGCAAAATGTCTCTTTAAACACTGCCATGACAGTGTTACTGTATTGCGATATGGTCCATTAGTTTCTTCACCTGGGATTTATGTCTGCACACGGAGAAAAAAACTTCGTGTGTGGGACCCGAAGATGAGGTCATTTGGATCTCTGAAGTTTTCAGATCACGTATCTAAAAACTTGAGGTGCAGATGCGAAGTTCGGGTCAGACATCTGAAGTACTCCGATATATACCGAAGGGTTCGGGTCACACATCTGAAGTACTCCGGTACATTCCAAAATGCCTCGATATCTGACCCGAATTTCAGCAGCTCGACCTCAACAAGTTTTCGGATGCGTGATCAGAAAACTTCAAAGATCCATTTGACCCCAACTTCGAGTCCCATGCACGAAGTTTTTTTCTCTGAACAGAAAAGGTAAGTTTCCAGGTAAAGAAACAGCAAGGGGCCGTATCAAAATCACAATGCTGCCTCAGCGACCATGGATAATCTTCTTGCATATTAGAAGATGGTTTGAACATCATAACATGATGTCCTTTCTTTTAAGTAATACAAAAGCAACTTACCCTCTCTTCCCAAGACCGTGGCGATCTCTCGCCAAATTGTAGCCTTCAGAGCAACATTCTTAAATTCTGCGTGGTTCAGCCTGTACAGCGGAGGGTTCTGTTGGACAAGGTTTATGAGCAGCTCCTCCTCCTCTCGAGAAAAAATTACTTTAGCCATATTAATTTGATATATAATTAACCAGGAATAATGAAAAACACG